CATACTTTTTAAAAATTTTATAAAATATTTCATTGTCTACTATTCATACAAGATAATTTCTCTTTGATATTTTTGTGAATATATATATATTCACAAAATGATTATTTTATTATATATACATGAAACAGATTTTGAACAGATTCACCTCCCCACTACCTTCTCTTGCCCTTCTTCCTGTTGACCCTTACTTTCAGATTTTTTAAAATTTTTACGTTTTATTCTCTGTGTGTGTGTGCGCACGCGCATGCACGTGCGCTTGCGTAAATGCATGTGCGTGCATCTGAACACCATGGTAAATGTGGAAGTCAGGAACTACTTGCAAGAGTCAGTTCCTTCCTTCTATCATATGGAGTCCCAGTGATTGAACTCAGGTTGTCAAGTTTGATGGTTAAGTGCCTTTATCTGCTAAGTCATCTTGCCACCCCTTTAAATTTCTTCTTAATCAAACTCCAGCTGACCTCCTTTCTGACCACTATCAATGAAAATATGTTTATCCAACACTAATCCTTTTTTTTAGTCCATTATGTTGGAATAATTGGTTATAAACATCTTCAAAAGGCGTAATTTGATGCTGCTCATAGGAGAAGCTGTCATTAACTGTGTAGGCTATTACTTTGTTAATCTCCTGGAGCACTCAAGTGTTGACCTAGACATTTAGTGGACCGTATGTTAGACATTTAGGAAAAAAAAGAAAACAAGTTTTGTTTCTTGAATAGTTTTTATTCTTTACAGTCACCCCAAGAGGCAAATACTGTTCTCATTTTTAAAGACTGGAGCTCTCTCTGTATGGGGTAGTCAATGGGGGCACTTTTCACCATTTCTCTGTTATGAGTAAATTGTACAGTTAAGGTTCCAAACCCAAGGAGGAACTTTTTGAGGTACAAGGAATTAGCAAAAGGATACATTTCTAATACAAAGTTAAAGATTCCAAGGAATGCAGATAGAGATTTCTAGTCATGGTTGAGAGGAGCAGAATTCTATAATGTTCTTTTATGATTGAGCTGAATACTGGTGAGTTCATCCAACTACTCACAGCACTGTTGAATCTTCCCAGCTTCAGCTGTGAGGCTCATTGGTCATGTTTATACAGAAAAGTGAAAACAGTATAGCCAAGTTACAGAGTGAATGGGTGTCTGAGTCAGAAATAGATCTCTCCCATGCCAGTGCCACACCCTCCCTGCTAGACAGCAAAGGTGGTGTGTGTTCAAGCAAGGGAGAGCTATGAATAGGGCCATAGTGGCAGTTTTCCCATGCCTTCTCTTTAGGACTAAGACTGTACTGCTTTCTTGTCTGTGGTCCTTTCTCTCCCACAGGTTTTGATTGCCCAAAGCAACAGAGTAGAAGCGTCACACATTTACAGACTGCCTGTTGTAGGTAGAGTGCATCTGTTCTGGGGTATGTAAAACTAAAGTGTGGTGACGGATGTATAAATCAACTTTATTTAACCACCCTTTATCACAGCAATACAAATAGGCATTGATTCATTTATAGATCACACTGCACTCCATAAATACAATGCAGTTATTATTTATGATTTTTAAAACTAGAATAATGTGGATTAAGAAATAAAATAAAATGATTATATTTCTGAAAAAAGCTGCATGTAAAGGTAGGATACAAAACTTAGCTATTTGAAGTACTTGTTGAGGAAAGTACAAAATATGATAGAGCCAGGGAGAGCAGCACTTTGGGCATAGAAATAACCAGGAAGTAAAGCTGGAGAGGCTCTGGGAAGAGGTGAGAAACCTTCTAATGTGAAATCCTTTATCGAATAAAATAAACTTGCTGTCAGTGCTTATTGTATAAGGTAGATGCAAGAGATTGTGAATGAAGTCTGGTTTTAATGCTGTTTTATATAGCCTCATAAATTTTTAAACATGTATGACTATGTTAATAAGAAATTATTTCTTTCACTGTCTTTTTGGTTTCTTCCAGCAATGTACTTTCTAAAATGTAAACTGTGTTCTTATTGTAAATGAGTCTTGGAATAATAGATAATAATGGTGTTAAAATAGTAAGTGGAATAGCTCGATATTAAGAAGTTTAGAAATTAAAAATTATTCTTCCATCTGGGAAACCTGGAAGGGATACGATAAAGTAGTGAGGATGAGATTATAGGAAGCCCTTTCAAGATTCTTAATACAAAGTAGATGGCCCAGAAAAGTCCCATTTTCCTTACCTTCTCTTCCCTTTTTTTTTTGTCCATACTTCTGCATGTTTTTCTCTGACATTCTACTTCTCTTTGACTCACTTTCCTATTTTCATTTATTCCTTCTTTGGAGTGTCCCTGTTAGACTTTACTTGGTCAAGGTCCCACTACACTTTGCTTTTGTTAAACAAGGTCGCTTTGGGGAAAAGTTGAACTAGACTGTGTGATGAAATGGCCAAGAAGGAATATGATTTTTGGTGAAAGATTTCATCCAGACATAATTGAATGACAATTCAAGATAGCACATTCCCATTGCAACTGGCCCACTGTTAGAATGAAAACCCCAACCCCACATGTTTTACCCCCCCCATATTATGGAAGTCATCATGCTCTTTGAGTTCTGTAGTAAGTGACTTTTTCTCAAGCTAAGTAGGTTTTACTCAAGTCAGACACTCATTGAGGTGACTTCAGCCCTGTGTATTTCTAGCAAATTTCTCCTCTATTTCCTCCCCTTAAGACATACAGAGGTCTGTTGACTTCTTTCCTTGGTGTCTGGAAGGGAAGAATGAAAAGGAAATCACTTCAGAAAACAGCCATTTGTATTTTACAACATAATCATGTGAAAATCCATTACTGGCTATGTCAGGGAACAAAGGCCACTTTCATTTCATATTCTCACTCAAAAGAATCATTCACCAGTTACTTATCCACAATGTTTTAAGGGACAGATTTGAAAGACATACTAGCCAATGGTAACTTAACCTATGAGAAAGCTGGTAAAATTTCTGTATGTATCTTAAGGCCCTGGTGGCCTAAATATTTAAACGGACAATGAGTTAATGACTACCATGTATAAAAACGGTATTGAAAAGAAAGCCTCTAAATGGTCAGATCAGATTTTGCACAATGAGGTATGGGGTGGCTGTTCTGTTGTCCTCAACTTTCACATTCTATTTGGAATTTTTGAGACAGCATCTGATGTTGAGACAGGGTCAAAATACATAGTCTTATCTGGCATAGTACTCACTCTGAAGCCCAGGTTGACCTCAAACTTACAGGAATTCTCCTGCCTAGGTTTATTCTGGGGTTATAGGCATAATCCACAACATCCTACTCTTATTTGTGTTTGATCAGAAAAGCTGATGTTGACCAGGGCCATTTTAACAGATGAGTGCATGGATATAGCCGACAGGACATGGCATGGGCAAGGAAAAGGAACATATATATGCTAGGCTTGGGGTATAGATTGAAAGAGAATTGTGTAGTGTAGGAAGGAAGTGATGAGTTTGATATTTTAATCTCTTCTTCAGAATAGCCATGTGATGTGACACAGTGGGAAAAACTTATTTATTTTAATCTAGAATTTTTTTCATATAATATATTTTGATCATATTCTTTTCCTTCCCCCAATTCCTCCCTAATTTCTATGCTTAACCAACCAAATTAATATTCTTTTTCCTCACGAAAAAAAAAAGGAATCCATTTTCTGTTGCGTTAGAGCAGTGAACAGATTTGACGAACTGACAGGTCATGTCTTTTAAGCTTCTGTTTTAAAATTAAAAGGTGAACCAATACATTGCTGTAGGAGAAGGTCGCTTGTTGGTTCCCAGGTGTTCAGTCCCAAAGTAGCCACACCGAAACCATACCATTTGCAATACTGTTTGGCCAATAGCTTAAACATATTACTGGCTAACTCACACCCTAAACTAAGCCATCTCTCTTAATCTGTATATCACCGTGTGGCTGTGGCTTACCTGATAAAGTTCCATCCAGCATCTGTCTCCAGCGGGGGCTACATGACTTCTCTCTGACTCTACCTCCTTTCTCCCAGCATTCAGCTTAGTTTTCTCCACGTACCTCTATTCTGCTCTGTGCAGTCCCAAGACAATTTTTTCATTAACTAATGGTATTCACAGCATGCAGAGGGGAATCCCACATCACATTGCTTTATTAGTTTGTGGATAACTTAGAACATGCACTAGAGGTCTCATATCTACTTACTGTCTTATACAGTAGAGTTAATAATCAGACAAGTTATTTTAGTAATATTGGAGAGTCAACAGTACAAATTTCAGTAACTTGAAAAATTTATGTTTTAAGAATCAAAGATGTGATTTTTGGTTTTGAATACATTATTCACATTCTCTTCCAATTCTGACATTCTGTAACTGTGCGTTAAGACTCAGGTTCTAATTCCGTAAAACAATAATTCCCTGTGCTTACCTTATGGTGTTCTTTAGTATTTACTATTTTTATTTTTTATTTTTTGAGATAGGGTTTCTCTGTGTCACAGCCCTAGCTGTCCTGGAACTTGCTCTTGTAGACCAGGTTGGCCTCAGTCTCATAGAGATCCGCCTGCCTCTGCCTCATGAGTGCTGGGATTAAAGCCTTGCGCCACCACAGCCCTACTGGTGTTCTTGTAAGAATTAAATAAAACATCTATTTGCAAAGTTGAAAATGGGCCTACAAATTCCACATTAGTAACATCTTAGCTAGCCATCAGGGATTCTTTGATTTTCCCTTGAGTAATATATACCTTATTCATGTTCATTGCAATACTATGCTTACTGTGTTGTGATCTCTCTCCCATTTCTGCAATACGTATGTCATTTGTAGTACTATTTACCTGCAGTATGTAATTAAAAGGCACTTTTCAAGTCTAATTGAATGTGTATATTTCTTTGTCTGGATGAGCAGAATGTATTTTTATACCACAAAAGTCTTGGAGGGAAAGCAGATTTGGTGACTCAGTCTATCTTGTCTCCTATAGGAAGAAAATATTCTCTACTGGTCTTTAATCTCAGAGTGGTGAACACCTGCAGCAAGCAGGCTTTCTGGAAAAAAAAAATCCATGGGTGACAGAAGATTTATTGACTTCCAGTTCCAAGATTTAAATTCAAGTCTCAGACCCAGGTTGGGCAATGCAACTGCCAATAATACTTGCATTGTTGATGACTCCTTCAAGTATAATCTGAATGGTGCTGTCTATAGTGTTGTGTTCATCCTCGGTCTAATAACCAACAGTGCCTCCCTGTTTGTATTCTGCTTCCGCATGAAAATGAGAAGTGAGACTGCTATTTTCATCACCAATCTGGCCCTATCTGATTTGCTTTTTGTCTGTACTCTACCTTTCAAAATATTTTACAACTTTAATCACCACTGGCCTTTTGGTGACACCCTTTGTAAGATCTCAGGGACTGCATTCCTCACCAACATCTACGGGAGCATGCTCTTCCTCACCTGCATAAGTGTGGATCGTTTCCTAGCCATTGTCTATCCCTTCCGATCTCATACCATCAGGACCAGGAGGAATTCTGCCATTGTGTGTGCTGGAGTCTGGATCCTAGTCCTCAGTGGTGGTATTTCAGCTTCTTTGTTTTCCACCACTAATGTCAACAATGCAACCACCACTTGCTTTGAGGGCTTCTCCAAACGCGTCTGGAAGACATACCTGTCCAAGATCACCATATTCATTGAAGTTGTCGGGTTCATCATTCCTCTGATATTGAACGTTTCTTGCTCTTCTGTGGTGCTGAGAACCCTCCGCAAGCCTGCAACATTGTCTCAAATTGGAACCAATAAGAAAAAAGTGTTGAAGATGATCACAGTGCATATGGCAGTTTTTGTGGTATGCTTTGTACCATACAACTCTGTTCTCTTTTTATATGCCTTGGTATGCTCCCAAGCCATTACAAATTGCTTATTGGAAAGGTTTGCAAAGATCATGTACCCAATTACCTTGTGCCTTGCAACTCTGAATTGTTGCTTTGATCCTTTTATCTATTACTTCACTCTTGAATCCTTTCAGAAATCCTTCTATATCAATACACATATAAGAATGGAATCCCTGTTTAAGACTGAGACACCTCTGACCCCAAAGCCTTCCCTTCCAGCTATTCAAGAGGAAGTTAGTGATCAAACAACAAATAATGGTGGTGAATTAATGCTGGAATCCACCTTCTAGGTACTAGAATTATTTTTCATGTACAGTAACAGTGTCTCCTATGAGTTTTCCTATGCTATAAGAGAAAAAAAAATTGAAGCTAATGATACCGAAAATAGATTAATGTACCAAATACAGTCAGATGCATTTGTTTGAAGACTTATTGTACATATTCTGTTTTGTTCAGTAATTTATAGGTCAAGTCTAATTACAGCAATCAAAACAGATTATCAGACTCTTGCTGAGTTGAAATTTTATTACATAAATGACCAGTGTTTTTGACTTTTAGTGATGTGGGGGTTACATTAAAACTTAAAAAAAAATTCCAGTGGTTTTGGTAATTAGGTTGGGCCTATAAATATAGAACAAATTCAGGGATTATTTAAAAATGTTTGTGTTACTACTGATATATACTGGTATTTTGTTCCTTTTTTGAATTATCATGGAATTTATTTTACTAAAAAAACTATTTTTACCTAATATTAATAAAACATGTTGAGAAAGGAATGTGTTGAATTTAAAAAGATTGACAAATTTTATCTAGATTTTGAAAAGATATAAAGTGCTTGGATGAATATGGATAGGAAAATTTGGGATATAGACAACATTTACACATATATAACCATAGTTAGTGTCAGCTTTTAAAACTTTCTTGGTAAAACAATACTAGAATTTTCCTATGAAATTGTTAATCTTGAAAGCTGCTACATAAGTGCCTGGAAGGTGCAAAATGGAAAAATCATAAAATTGCAGTGTCAATTAAAATTTTTTTAGCAACACTACATTATTTCTTAAAACTTCCTCTTATCCTTCATGGGGGTGGGAACTCACTTGTAGAAAATATTTATTCATATTAAGTGTTGGGACACAGTACAGCCACAGAGCTTTACAGTAATTGTGTCCAGGTCGGGAGCAAGTTGAAAACAGAAGTGAACAAAATAATAGCAACAAGATATCTTATAGCTTGTATTAATAGTTTTTTAGGTAGAGGTTAGTTAGCTTTAGTGTTGAAATATATACTCTTTTCTGTTCAATTTTGGAGCACATTGTAGCCGAGGTGCTGCTGAATTTGTGCTCAGGTCGGGAGCGTATTGAAAAAAAAAATGTATATAATAAAAGAAACAAAAAAAAAGAAAAATTATCAAAAAATCCACAAAACTAGAAAAGGAAAAAAAATTACAAATAACAAAAATAGTTCCTAACACTTACATTATTGTTTTGCTGTTTTTTAAGTGCTATAAATTTAAAAATACTATGCTATTTTAATAAACATTTTTTAGTATAATTCAATTAGAAATTGAAATTTTTTCTGGAACAGGATTGAATTAAAGAAAAATGCATAACTTTGTAAAAATACAAAACAAATAAGCACCCCCAAATTTAGGGCATAAAGTTTTGTGCATCTATAGCATTTAACAAGTGCTACAATTATCAGACGATGCCTTGGATCATTCATCTAGGAGACTGCTAAATTCATGCCAAGTTTGAGAGAGAATGAATAAAATATTTAAAATTTATGAAAGGAAAAGACTCCTTCTTGTAACTCAAATAACAGAAACAAAGTCTTTACAATTTTAATTTTTCTGATGCATAGTAGATTTGCCTTAAATATGCATCAATCTGTTTAAAAAATATCTAAGAAATATGGCAATTAATGTCCAGAATTTTAAAGTAAACTTCCAGGAATAACCTATCTTGTATATTGCTGAACTTGTGTCAGAGAGTGGTTAAGTTAAATTAAAAATGTTAAAACTTCTAAAAATGAGCAAATTCTTTAAATTCCTTAACTTGTTTTTCTGTCTGGTGATATGGAGGCTTAAAAAAATTAAATAAAAAATTAAAGTCGGTGAACACAATGCAACTTTAAAGAGTGCTCAGTTTGGGCTTGTGTTAGGAACTAGCTAGAAAAAGAGTTTCTAAAACAATAGAACAATAGTAAAAATGAATTCATGATTTAAAGTCCTAAAAATAACTATGTATTATATTGTCTTGAAAAGAAAGGTAGTAGTTGGAATACATACAGCTGTAGGCTTAGTTAGAGAAAAGTAGGTTAGGTTAGATGAAGTTCAGTTGTTAGGTTAATGTTGTAAGGTCAAATTAGTAATCAAAGTATGAAAACTTGTTTGTTTCCTTCAGTATTCTTTCTCTTTTTTTTGTAATATTGAACTATACGTGAACTCTCTACTTTTAGCTGTTAAAATTCTGGAAATTTAGGATTATAGTATTAAATCAATGAATTAGATGTTAACTGAATTGACACAAAATACATTTTAAAATAATTTGTATAATTTCCATGTTTAATGTTGCTTACTCTTTTGTATTTCACTTTATTTTGGTTAATTTCCATTTTATATTTAATATAACTTGCTAGTCATAAATATGGTAATGTGAATAATGTAACTCATAAATTGTAATGCATACCGAAATGTAAAATTGAATTGATTTTCCATTTACAGATACAGGTAATCCTTCAGCTGTAATTACAACTTGCATTAAAATGTTTATTAAATGTAATAAAACATATTTGGATTGTTAAGCTACTATACTTTGTTCAGCTATTGAAATATTCCTTTTTTTTAGGGCACTCAAAAGTATCTATTCTTTTCCTCTTCTCATCCTTTAAGAAAGAACCTAATAAAATATACTTGATATCAAGTTACTTCAATTATTTATTATTAAAAATTTTATTAAAAATTTTCACCTCCTCCCATTCCCCCCACCCTCTCCCCCTCTCTCTCCAGTCCAAAGATCAGTCAGGGTTCCCTGCCCTGTGGGAAGTCCAAGATTCTCCCCCCTCCATCCAGGTCTAGGAAGGTTAGCATCCAGACAGACTAGGCTCCCACAAAGACAGTACATGCTGTAGGATCAAAACCTAGTACCATTGTCCTTGGCTTCTCAGTCAGCCCTCATTGACCGCCACGTTCAGAGAATCCGGTTTGATCACATGTTCCATCAGTCCCAGTCCAGCTAGCCTTGGTGAGCTCCCATTAGATCAGCCCCACCGGCTCAGTGGGTGGGCACACCCCTCGCGGACCTGACTTCCCTGCTCATGTTCTCCCTGCTTCTGCTACTCATTTGGACCTTGGGAGCTCAGTCCAGTGCTCCAATGTGGGTCTTTGTCTCTATCTCCATCCATCACCAGGTAAAGTTTCTATGGTGATATGCAAGATATTCATCAGTATGGCTATAGGATAGGGCCATTTCAGGCTCCCTCTCCTCAGCTGTCCAAGGAACTAGCTGGGGACATCTCCTTGGACACCTGGGAACCCCTCCAGAGTCAAGTTTCTTGCCAACCCTAAAATGGCTCCCTTAATTAAGATATCTACTTCCCAGCTCTCACATTCACCCTTCCTCCATCCCAACCATCCCATTCCCCCAAGCTTTCCCCATCCTCCCCTTCTCCCTTCTCTCTTCCCCTCTCCCCTTACTCTCACCCCACTCCCACCCCCAAGTTCCCACCTTTTGTCTGGCAATCTTATCTACTTCCAATATCCAGGAGGATAACTATATGTTTTTCTTCAGGTTGACCTTATTTAGCTTTTCTAGGATCACGAATTATTTGGGATCAACCTACCCCAGGATCCAGCAATACCACTCTTGGGAATATACCCAAGAGATGCCCTATCATACTACAAAAGCATTTGTTCAACTGTGTTCATAGCAGCATTATTTGTAATAGCCAGAACCTGGAAACAATGTAGATGCCCCTCAATGGAAGAATGGACAAAGAAAGTGTGGAATATATACACGTTAGAGTACTACTCAGCAGTAAAAAACAATGACATCTTGAATTTTGCATGCAAATGGATAGAAACAGAAAACACTATCCTGAGTGAGGTAACCCAGACCCAAAAAGATGAATATGGTATGTACTCACTCATAACTGGATTCTAGCCATAAATAAAGGACATTGAGCCAGTTATTTATTTTTTAGACTGTCTGAAAACTGATGCAGAATTGGCAACTGAAAAAAATCCTGGAAACTTTTCAGTCATCACTTTAAAATATTTACTCCCTCCTTTGCCTTTTCTGACTCGGCCCTCTATCCATGGTTCTGCACTCATATATTCAACTCCTGTTATAGAAAATGTAATTTGGAAAATAATTCCATCTGTACTGAAAATGTACAGACATTTTTTATCACTGTTTTGTAACAATACAGAATGAAGATTATGTAGCATTCATACTGTGTTTGGAAATACAAGCAATTCAGACATGACTTTAAATACGCTGTAGGATGGGTGGGGGTCAGACAGAAATACTAAGGACTTGAATATACTTAGATTTTAGTCTCCATATGACATTTCGTAACCAGTCCCCGCAGGAGGACACAAAAGGGTATCTGACTATGTGGTTTCAAGCCAAGCTGACAGTTTAAAAACAAATTTATTTATGTGTTGATATGTGTATTTGTCACGTGTGGGAAGATCACCACAGAGGCCAGGGGACATCATCAGATCTCTTGGAGCTGGGAATCCAGATGGTTGTGAGCTGCTTTGTGTGGGTATTGGGAACTGAACTTGGATTCTCTGGAAGAGTACCAAGTGCTCTTAAACATTTAGCCAGGTCTCCAGCCTCCAGGCTGTATTTTTAATCTGATTTCTAGGGATTGATGAGCTATCTAAGGACATTTATTTTCAATCCTGGTGAAAGTTAAGGCAAAACAGCTGCCTGAGAGCTGAGAGGAGAGTGAGGCGCCTGCAAGATTAATAGCTAGAGGGGCTGGTAGCTCTAGGGTGGTAGCACAGGAAATTTCCCATCTCTGTACTCATTCCTCTTACACTGGTGGAAAACAGTGTCATCACTACAAGTCTTCATTGGGCATCATTCTCATGAAATGATAGCCAGCACTGTCTTTCTGACATTGCGACCAGCAGGATCAAACCTAGGCAGCATTTAAAATGGAAAGAAACTTTCTTCTAATGACCTCCTAGGCCAAGTACTCAAAAACCATGGAGAGAAAAGCTATTTGTTTTGTATGTCTTTTACTTTCTGCTGCTAAACCCCTATACTTTGTGTTAGCATGATTGCTCGAGTCCTGTAATTACTTGTTCTTCCTGTGGCTTTTATACTCTCCAATATT